GTAAATAATATTAGACTAGATATTCTTCAAGACACTTCTATACAGCTTAAAGTGACATTTAAAGGCTTAACTAGGGTAATAAGGTTAACTAGGCTGGTTAGTTATTATAAGTTATTGTATAACGATGGTTTGTTCTGTAGACTATCGAAAAAATTAGCTTAAAGGGGCTAATAATTTTGACCTAAAAAAAAAAAAAAAAATATATATATATATATATATATATATATATATATATATATATATATATATATAATTACAAACTACAAAAATGTTTTATTTTTTTTACATTTCTTTGCTTCTCTTGATTTTTCCTTTTTAAATTTGTATTTAATATTTTTCTATATAAATTTGGCTGTACTAGTTTTTGGAACATTATCGTAGGTTATTTTGTTAGATCAGCTCCAGATTTGGCTTCAGTATCGACTAATCTAATGTATATGCACAAATATAATATTGTACAGCTTCCTATTAAAAATATGAATTTAAAAGAGAGATTTATGTGGGGTGTACTTATATAAGCTGAGCACTGTATGTATGTGTGTGTATGTATGTATATATATATATATATATATATATATATATATATATATATATATATGACAAAACCCGAAATAAAAATAAATGCTTTTATTTATAAAGGCTTTATGACAACAAAGAGCATAGATTCACCAAGAGGTGACACTCTGTAGCTATTTAGGAAACAGCCACTAGATGCCGCTAGTTCATCCACGCGGCAGCCATTTTGGAATGAAATTCCAATATAACAACAGCACAGATAACTAACATTAGACAGACTGAATTAAAATATTGAGTTAAATATGAATTAAAATATGATATGTGTTTTTGTGCTCTCAGCATAAATGAGTACACCCCCTGTGAAAAGTAACATTTTAAACAATATCTCAATGTAAACAGACAATTTCCAAAATGTTGACAAGACTAAGTTTATTATATCTGGTATCTCAAATATCCTTTATACTTTTTGAGGTAAAAAAAATAACTTAATAACTTTTTTTTATTTTGATTTTTTTAGCTTTACTCAAATTAGAGCGCTACAAAAATGAGAATATTCCACAACAAAAACTACTTTATCTAGTTAGGATGGCCTCCATGATTTGTAATGACAGCATTAAAAATCACGAATAAAAAATGATGAATTTATGTGTCAGAATTCAATCATTTTGGACAAAGTGGCTTTTAACATAAAAGCTTTATTAGTCTTTCTTTAACAGACAACACTGGAAAAATACTATATACTCTTATAACACAATACTGCAACAAAAACTGCTGTCAGTCTGTAATCAACATATTTTTAAAGTCAGGTTAATTTAATTTAAAATGCTAGTTTTCATTTATATTAAAACTGGCATGTTAATATTAAGTGCGTAAATTATTAAATTAATTTAATTTAAAGTAATTTCATCTAAAAGTGACAGTTTCAAGAAAACAAATATGGTTAAAGATATTAAACAAGTCTGTAAAATTAACTATTAAAAGTGCTGATGATCACCAGTCTTAGATAGTAAGAGAGACGGCCGATTGCTGTCACTCCAAAATGGCGAGGCTGTTGCAATGGAACGTTCTATTGAGAGTCGCCTCTTGATGATTCTATGCTCTTTGATGACAATCATGTTTATGACAGATTTATGACAGGTTTTGTTGTCTTGGTAATGTCAAGTTGTCATGTCATAGTCAAATACAGCTTGCGGTGTATTTGTTTATGTCAAGTTGTCATAACAAACAATGTCATCTTTGCATTTAAAATGTCATAACTGAGAGAATGACACTTAGGGCCCTATCATACACCCGGCGCAGTGTGGCGCAAAGTGTGACGCAGTAGTCATTTGGTATTTTAAGCTTGGCACAAGAGTGGTTTTGAGGCGTTGCGCTACGCTGTTTAAATAGCAAATGCATTAGCGCTCATTTGTGCGCCCATAGGCGTTCTGGTCTAAAAAGGAAGGCGTTCTGAAGCGGACCGCTGCCGCGTCGCTATTTTGAGAAACTATAATAGATTTTTCATTGGACCAAAACTAACCCGGTCTAAACTCTAGGTCTAAAGTTGCGCCTCGCTTACACACTGCTTAATACGCACAAGAGAGCAATAGGCACATATCTTTACATATGAAAAAATGTAAATATTAAGGATATATATAGGATATAATAAGAATAGATATAGAATATAAATATAAAGGATTAAAATATTACAAAACATATTATTTTCTA